CCCCAAAACCCCAAAACCCCAAAACCCCAAAACCCCAGTATTTAGGCTCGGAATTGTAATAATTATTATATAAAAATGACTCAAAAATCCCGCAACGGAGTTTCCCAGAACATTCTTGACCAGCAAACTCAGCTCAGGTTTAATTCAGACCTGCTAGTTTTAGATAAAGTTGAAGAAGATGAAAGTCCAGAGGAGAGTGATCGAGCTCTGGGTCTTGTGCATCAAGAAAAGAGTAATGAAATTAGAATGATTGGTAAATCATTGATGATAATCTCTAGATCCTATCTCACCCAAAAAGAAGATAAATTACCAAAGAGATGAAATGGTTGTTGGTGATATCAAACTGCCTCAAGAGGTCATGTTTCCTAACCTCAATAACAAACAAAAGTAGCGCACCAATTTTAGATGATGATTTCAAAACTCCATTAAGACAAAAGAAGCCAACATTTGAACCTTACAAAATCTCTTCAAGTGATGAAGAGGAATCCTCTATTGAAATAAAATAAGGAAACTCAAAAGATAACCAGCACTGAGCCCAACATTGAAGAGCCAAAGAAGATTGAAAGAGAGTATTATGGTATTGAGTATATAATCCAACAAGAGAAAGCCAAGGAAGGTGAGGGCAAACTCTTTAGCAAATAAACTGCAATCAGAGATTGACTCGCTCAAATACCCCTCTGAAATCATAGAGTTCCACATCAAGGACAAAATCTTGAAATATATAGCAAATGATCGACTTGATGATTTTGTTAGTGAAATGAAGAAGCTTCAAAACTCTGAGAAAATTTTACATAAAGAAAGTGAATCAGATCTCAGCAGAGGTACTGCTTACGCTTAGAGTAGTCTAAATGTTTATAGAAAAACAACATGATACAAGTAACCAAGAAAGCTCAAAATCGATGGAAAATAGCAACTCGAATTGATCTAAAGAAGCCTCGGAAGGGCAAAGTAGCTCAAAGAAGGAGAAAGTTAGCTACAAAATAAAATTATTTACCTCTTTTTGGCTTGCCTTGCATCTTGAAAAGTTAGACTTTCTCATAGAGATAAGTGCTCTTGATCCAGTTATCAACAAATTATGAATGAATTTAATCAAATAAATATAACTTCTCAGTTGATGTCAAAGATGAAGCATCTGTATCAGATAGTGACAATGACAGAAATATCCTACGAAGAAAATTGTCAAAATTTAGAACAAAGAATAGGAGCACGGGGCTAAACTTAGACCAATTACACTTTGATGAACTTGAAAATCCGAGGGTAAAATAAACTCAACAATACATTATATGAAGGCTCGAATTCTTCATTCAAAAAGATTAAGATTAGATCTCCTAAATGGGAGGATAAAGTTGAAGTATATGATATTAAAACTGTGCTGAAAACATGCATTGGCTCAGCATCTTTTACTACCAATATCCTGAAGCACTTTATCAACACTGAGGAAGAAAGACTTGCTTGTATCTTAGTGAGTAGATATCTCGTAGGTATTGATGACCAAATAATTCTTAAAGCACTAAACTGAGAAATGCTGGAGTTACTGAGAGTTTTGTTCACCTATAGCAAGAATTTTCATTGTAAGACACTGAAATTTTACAGTTTTGAATATCTGATTGATAATATAAAAGAAAGCAAGCATAATGTATTACCAAAGGTTGAAAGTATCTGAAAATGGAAGATAAAAGCTTCAGAAAACCTCCTGAAATGCCTTCTTGAGTCTTGATGGGATCACTTAGCCATCAAATACTGTGAGTTTTACATAAAAGATGCCGATAGAGATCTTCTAAGGTTCTGTATCAAAAACGAAAATGAGGATTTCCTGAAGCATGCTCTTAATAATAATATATTTCTGAGTAGTGTTCTTGATCATGATGACACAGTCACTATGATCTTAGACTTACTTTATTCCCGAACAAGATGTGACTACATCATTAACATCATGATGTATAGTGATTATTATCTATGGTCAAAAGATAACCTTTATCGGCTTTATATTATTTTTTCACGAATAAAGGATGAGGACATTGATAAAAATATACTTCTCTCCTTTTACAACCCAATTCTTGCCCTTGCTATTATATGTGATATTCTGAACAAGATAGGCAATATCTCAAATCAGTACACTAGGCCAGCGAAAGAACTGTCAAAAGATCTTCAAAATATTGGTAATAAACTCTCAGAAAATCTGAATGAAGAGTTAATTAAAAGAGTATATATGGCAACAAACTTCAAAGGACAGACTCTATTGAGAATAATTGTAAATCTTGACTTAGAGCCCTTTGTCCAGTCACAGAAAGTTGAGGAGTTGATCGAAACCCTCTGGACAGGTAAAGAAACATATGAATGCGATGGAACCGACTCATATTTTTCAAAACTCACCTATATCTCCACTAGTTCATTAAGGTTCCTTCCTGGAAAAGATTTTACCTTAAAAGAGTTGGTAGACCAAGACTTCGAATACCAATACAATGATGAAAAGTTTTGGTACCAGTATTACTTCAGAAGATACTCGATAAAATATATCTTTGCTAAAGAGTGTCTCTCAGTCGTTCTTCAAACCTTTGTTGTTCAACTGGTGAATTACAAGTACACAAGATCCTTTCGGAAAGAGGTCTATGCCGAGATGGACTTTAAGGATCAGTACAACTACATTGAAAAAGATCTAGAGAGTAAGTATTCTTCAGTTACATTTAGGTTACTTATTCTACAACAATTATTTAGGCTTCTTCTTCAGTGTCCTCGCATTTTATTCTTTCCTAATGAAGATAGTGTTTCATTTTGGATCTGATCTCCACTTACCCATTGATAAGTGGACTGTTTGTGACATACTCTCAATTTTCATCAATATTATTTGTTATGCTATCCTTGCTGGACTGGATTATCACTCAATAATAGATACTAAAACTAAAGAATACTATGACTGGATTTCAATCCTAATCGTACTTGGAACCTGGCTAAGACTCACAATGTATCTTCTTGTAATACATGCATTTTCTGTTGTCCTGAACACCTTGTTCAAAATGGTAGCTGCAGCAACAAGTTTTATGTATATACTTATTTCAGGATTACTGCTATTCGGAATGGCATTTGTTGCCCTTTATATCTCAATAGATTCAGCTAGTTTTGGAACCTATCCTCTAGCTACAAGAACACTTTTTGATGCAATGCTTGGAAATTATGTGCAAAATACATATGACCAAAGGGACCTCCCTTACAAAATTTTGTTCATAGTTTTTATGATCTGCTGTCATGTTTTCTTGCTAAATTTCCTAATTGCTATTCTCTCTCTAGTATACGCAGAGATGAGTGCTAGAGGTAAATTTGCTTTCTTATCCAACAAGTATCAATATATTGAAAAGCTAAGTATTCCTTTAAAAGACCAGCATGGGTATAAAGAGCTGATAATCCATCCTTGCCCTCTGAATGTGCTATCCTTACCGCTGATGTTCTTCATTTTTAAGAAGGAAAAGATGCCGAAGCTATCCCTGATATATTCGTACTGTATATACTGGGTTGAAAACATAATAATGCTCCTTATGTTCCTCATAAAAGAGGTATGTTTGATTCCTTCGATTTATATAAAGACATTCCTAGGCTTGACCCAGGCGGATAAGTTGCATACCTGGCTAAAGTATTCCTTCATCTGGCTGTTTATAGGCCCTTTCGTGCTGATGTACCATGCCATGATTGATACATGAATGTTTGTGAAAATTCTATGGATTAACCACAAAGATAACAAAATACAAGAAACTGATACCAAATCTGAAGAAACTCAGAAAGACAATATGGTTGTGTTCACTGAAGTCATTGATACAATGAAAGCTATCTGATCCTTTGTTATTAAGTCCAAGGTTAAGGAACAGAGTGGAAAGAAGGAACTAAGAAGAAGGCCAGGTAACATAAATCTTAATAATCTGTTACAAAGTAACTCAAGCCGTGATAATATGAGTAACCTTGATGAATTTGGTATCGTTGATCCTGATTCTGAGTTTATCATTAGAAAAGATTTACTTATTAATGCTTGGAAGAAATACCGGCCTCTTGATATACACCCAGGGTTGTTGCAACAGAGGCCTCATGATCCTACTAAGATTCTTGGAAATAACCTTGTGACAAAAATTCTTGACTGCATCAATATCTACAGCACCCAGAAAAAGAACCAAGACAGGGAGCAAAATCAAGATCAGCAGGATAATGAAATGGTAGATATGGATGAGCCTGGTGCCATCATGAGCCCAGAACTGAATCAGAATATCTCAAATTCTGCTTCTCAACTTTTTAGATTAAACAATTTCAACAAGTATAAAAAGAAATAAAGAAAAAGAAGAGAAGGAAGATTTTGGAGTTATTCCTGAAAATGAAATCATTTTTGTTGAGAGTCTTCTTGATAGATTCATTATCCCTCAGGATACGTCAAATCAAGATCAGATAAACATCAAGCTTGCTTTGAAATGTCTCCCTCTTCGTGCTCAAAAATCTACTTTTGACAGGATAGATCTGATCAATTTCAAAAGTTGTCAACTAGCTCTTATAGCTTTCCAGAATGACGACCAGGATGAAATCTTTGATTATTACAGCTCCAAAAATAAGCGGGCGTTGTTTGCTCTGAAGAAGACATCTATCCAGGTCCAGAACGAGATCAAGAAAATTAAAGGTATTCTCTAAGCATAACGTCTAGAAATTTCAGATGAGATAGAAGCTAGGATTAACTATATCTCAAGAAGGTCTTATTAAGACATTTCAGTATCTTTACGCTATCTTGGGGTTTTGGGGTTTTGGGGTTTTGGGGTTTTGGGGTTTTGGGG